GTCATATTGGATTAGTGAACTCCCTAATGAAATCAATTTAACTTGCTCATCTTTATCAAGACTCCAAATAAGGACACATTCTCAGGTACTAGAGGTTACTACTTGAACTCATGAATTTTGGGGAGACCCTAAGCTGGTCATACTAAAAAACAAAGCCAGGAAGAAGGCAGAGTTTGTGCATAGGTCCCGAGATTACACATGCTCAGAGCTAAGGAAGTTAACAGCAAGGGGCTGACAGCAAGGGTCAAGTCACATCCAGCCTTCTCTTCTAGTCCATAAAAGGAGACTGGAGGTTTTATTCAGGGCAAAGACACCATCTCACTATTTTGTGGGTGGAGATGTACAGAGAAAAGTGATAGTGGAAAGATCTGGTGGAGGCTACGCAGAAGGACAACTGAGAGATAAAAGGTAGGGTTGTTTGAACCAGAGTTTTAGGGGAGAGAGAAGTTGATGGGTGGCATATGTAAATCAGCAGGTCTGATGGGCCTTGGAGGACTGGAGGTAGTTAGGTTGGGAAAGGGGTGAAGGATAGCTTCTAGGTCCTGAATAGTGAAACTAGATAAACTGTTACTGGTAAAAGGGAAGCTCTGGGTTTAGACTTTGACAACAGTGTGGTCAAGGGAACCATTTCTGACCATGTTCTGAGACATGTTAAGGCATCCAAATGAAGTCATTAGCTGAATGCAGAGACCTGAAGTGCCGAGAAGAGGTACAGGCCAGAAGAAAGTTAAATTGGGAGCAGTTATGACACAAATGTTAGTAAGAGCCAAGGGAAAGAGTGAGAGGAAGAATATGGCAACAGAGGAAAAAGCCCGGAAATATTTAGGAAGGTGCTCTTCTGTCCCAACCCATCCATGAGTGCCACAGCTAACTGCATGCTGCCAACTTGGTGGAAGCATGATTGAGGTGGGAGAGGCTGCGTCCAGGCGACACTGTACGGTAATGAGTGTGATGCTGAGGCTTAGGAATGAGTCATCACTGGCCTCGGAAACCCTCCCAGCAAGGGACGCGGCAGTCAATTCATTGTTGCATTTTATGACAGATGTCAGAAGTTCCAGGGATAACATCCTCTTTCAAACACATGGATCTGACCTATATACTGCAGGCCAGCCTGTTCCTGAAAACGGTGAGTGACAACATGGCCTGTAAGGAAAACCAAGTGATTTCTCATAAGAATATTTGAACCACTGGAACGTGATCACTCGGTGAAATTAGGTCCCAGAGGTTTGGGTCTTTCTTTAAGCATGAAAAATCATTTTGGCCTATAAAACTCAGGGAGGGTTGTTGGCAACTTATCTGCTCTAACCATAGGATGGCTTCTGCACGCTGTGACTTCAAGTAAAATTACAACAGCACATGCCCACATGGCTCACTCTTGCTCCTGCTGGAAGAGGGGATCTCCTGTACAGGTGATACACTTGATGGTGTTGATTTTTTTTTTTCTAGTTTATATATGCATCTACGTACTGCAGGGCATCTGCAAATTTGAAAACTTAAGATTTAAAATATCTTGAAATAACATAAGGCTGATAGCATCCCAGTCTCTCATCAGTCTGACAACACAAAACATCTGATGACACACCACATCCTTTGTTTTGGGGGATAACAAACCTTTTAATTGTTCTTGGAATTAAACTGTCCTGAGAGAAACTGGACAGGTTAATTAGCTAATAATCAACCCCAATTTAGATGATCATTTAAAGACACTTTGATGTTGGAAATCAGCATTTCCAAACTTTGTGGATATTTACACAAACAGCATGAATGTAATTAAAACAAAGCTGCCACTGTTATACTTCATAAACAGCACCTAGGAAGAGGCAGAAGTCCAGGGGAGGAGAGTCCCTGGATCTTGTTCTATACGTCATAGCATGGTATGAAAGCTATGCAAAAGCTGCTGTGCTCCTCCTATATTTGAAATGAAAATACCTACCATCAACACTACTTTAAACAAACAAAATCAGGTTAATTCAAATAAATATCCTTTATTAAAGAAAAAAAGGAATATTGTTAAGCACCAAAACTGTATGTTGTTACACTGCATGTACAATAAGAGAAAGGTGATTGCAATACTTGGTGTACAAGTACTTAACTCTGAAGTCATGAGTGTAAAAAACATGAAATATAAAGCAATACAATAATTAACAATGCAGAAAAGTTGCACTAAAGAGGAAAAGGCAATGTTCAAAACAATTATTGGAGATTTCATAGTATTGCTATAAATGCTTGCTTAGTATTTTCTTTGTACTTTTAATACTTCAGAATGTTAACTGAGCATATTGAAGTATTGTAAATTTGCAAGAGATGGCATTTACAATACACTGTGCACACTGTCCATATAATGTAATGATAAAGCCATCCTTAAAAGCCAAGCACAATGTGCTAGTGTTTTGCTTCTACCTTTATAATATTGCACAAAGCTAGTAAATGGTGAACCAATTTGCCATTATAATTTTCATTTACCAAGAATGGTTAAAAAAAAAAAAAAGGAATGTCAGTTTCATTCATCCTAATGGACTTATTCATGCAAAATGATCTGTGGCCTTCCATTTATCATAAACTACATATTATGGTTTCACACTTGGCAAGATATACAGTACAAGGAGAGATTCAGTGCGCCAGTGGGGATTCTGTAAAAGCTAAATAAGTTAGAAGTCACTATATGGATTGCACTGTCTACCCTTCTTTGTACACAAATGAAGGGGAAATGCCTTGTGATTATGAAGACTTCTTAAAACCAACGTACTTAATATGGGGAAAGCTGGAATAACTTCTTATACCCTTGATAGTTAACCATAGAACATGCAAATTAAAAGAAAATTCCTGTGTTAAAACTCAACTCTATGACCAATACCCACCCATATCTTTTGCTTTCATCTAACCAAGTCTTTCCTACCTGCTGTCAACTTCCGATACTGATCTTATTTGTACCTGAATTAAAAACAAAAAACAAAAACAAAAAACCTTCCTCTAACCCTCAAAACAAATGACCGCAACTCTCTAACATGCCAACCTCAGAGGTATCCTCTGTACGTGCACATTACAATAGCAGAATAATTGTACTTGTAGCAGGGGCAAAACATCTGAAATTTGGAATTTAAGCAATTAAATTGTACAAATGCCAAGTTGTACATTTACTGTAGGCAAAATGAATTTTTAGAATAAACACCCTTGAAATAAGTCAATGGGCAAACAGCATACATGTGCATGCGCACACGCGTGCACACACAATCCAGACTCCCTCCCACCTTTAAAAACCTCTGTTTACATACATGATAGTTTAGGCAACAATATAAACTCATTTTGTAGGAAAAACCTTTAAATTACAATATAGGATAAAAAATAACATTGCTTCATTTTACAAAGCAATTAGGCAGAGACTCTTCTTAATGTGCTTTAACTAAAGAGGACTTGACTTTTCAGCAAGATCAGAAATTACTACTGACTTATTCAGTAGCACTAAATAAATGCAATACACCCAGCAGTAAGGTACTTCTACTTTCTTACCCCTCTTCAATTTAAAATGAATCTTGCTGGTCAATTCTCTTAATATTAGCATAGTTCTTTTTCTATCGTAAGCAATAAATGGGAAATAAATATCTGTTTAAAATGCACATTTAACTTTATATCACCATTTATATTCAGTGCAAGAATTAGGTAAAACTAAATGTTTCAGTTTTCATTATCCAATAGTTGTATTTTTAACAAAGTGTCTGCAACAGCTTTAAAATGCTTACATGGTATTTTGTTTTGTTTATAAATAACCTGGCAAAGTATAAGAAATTTCAACTCCCTGATAAGGCCTGCAAGGACCCAATAGTATTTACAGGTTGGTATCTGGTGTTAAGTGCATAATAGTTAAATAATAAAGCTGAAAAAAAAAATCCTTGTGTTTGTAAAAGGAGAAAAAAAAAGCTTTCTTTATGCTAAAAAGCATTGAATTAAATAAATATACTCAGTGAATGTAATTTAAAAATGGAGTCAACTGGGTGTGGTGGTGCATGTCTATAATCCCAGTGACTCAGGAGGCTGAGGCAGGAGGATCAAAAGTTCAAAGCCAGCCTCAGCAACTTAGTGAGGTCTTAGGTAACTTAGCAAGACCCTGTCTCAAAATAAAAAATAAAAGGGGCTGGGAATGTGGTTCAGTGGTTGAGTGCCTCTGGGGTTCAATCCCCGGTACCACGGGAAAAAAAAGTCATCTTAGGAAATGTATAAAATTAAGTTGTATTGTTTACTGAACTCATTCCATATAGCAAGGCTAGTGCCCATTCCTTTTGTGTTCCACTCAAATAAGAGTATGATTCTTAGTGTCCACAATGGCTATTTATGCTTTATAGTTTGACATGGTATGACACAAAAAGTGACCCCCCCCCACCCCTCCCAATAAAATGCTCAGCAAAGTTCCATATTCTTTCTGTGGAAATACCACACCTTATTGACTTATGACCGTCTACCATTATCCTTAAAGATGCATTTTACAGAAATGTATCGGCTCCACAATGAAGAACTAAGGAATGATGGTTTTTTATCCTGCTCACAAACTCAAAGAGCCTATAAAATATACTTCAAATAAACAGAAAAAGTGTTCACCCTTTAAAAATTCCCACTCGTCAGGCATTACCTCATACTGCTAAACCACCAACTAGGATTTCAAAGCATTCAGAATACCTTTCCTCTACATCTACATTGGTCCTATATGTATAATTTTGGTTGCATTATTAGGGGAAATATCTGAAATTGACATTCAAGTGAGCGGTTAACATGAACCTCAAAACATCTCCAAGTCATCATCTACTTGTTTCCCCCATTTTAAATATACTGCAATTGAGACTAAATTGGTAAATTAACTTCTAAATTGACTCAGCATAAGCAAGCAGCTGTTTGTGAATTCAGAAATACAACTGTCAAATATTCTGAGCAACACAAAAAAATACAGGCAAGTTTGGAACTGGAAATGTGATCATTTGTAAGTACCATAACAAATATATGCTAGTTTAATATTAAAGCAAATATCTGCATTTTATTAGAGGCAAGGAAAAAAGAACATTTGATCACGCTTTTGTAGGGTTCTGATACTGCTTTAAAATGGGGGTTCAATTGATACTCATTTTAGACAAGTGGACCCTCGTTCTTTTAACTCCGATGGTATGTGACCTACAGTAATTTGTAATTTTGTGGAAGTAGCCATGTGAATCTCTCCCTGACGATGGGACGCAGGGCCTCCTCATACATGTAGGTAAGCACTCTACACTGAGCCACATCACCAGCTGATTACAAGGTGGCTAAAGACAGATCACAGGAGCCTTTTTAAAGTAAGATTGCTTTATAATAGAATCCCAGCGATAGTACTAATGGGTAGCAATTCTCTCAACATGAAGGGTCCAGTGTTTGTTGTTGTTAATTTAACATTACATCCTTCTGTATTTTTCCGAAATTGAAAAAAATGAATAAAAGTTAGGTTATGAACAAGCATCCAAAACACTTGACACATGAAATACTGATACATGGATACACACACACACACACACACACACACACACACACAAAATGGATGGATTAGATGGATCCATGGTTTTTTAAAAAGTTTTCTAAATTTAAAAATTTGCAAATATATTAATCTAACGAATGGCTCTTTGGGTTAAAAGCATACTTTAATGCTTTACTGAAGTTATAAAGGATATGCACCCACCCCCACTAAAGTTTATATATATTAGATGTGTGCTACTAATCATCCCAGACAAGACACGGGACTTATGCTGGGACTAGAACCAATGTATCATGAAACTCATATGTTGTGCAGAAATTCCTAGTCTCATCAATAAATATATTACTAATGTTTGAACAAAAAGATTTTGTTTTATATAACCTCCTGCTGCTGGGAATTTTTGTTAATGAAAATAATATTCAATAATGACAAAAAGAGTTGTGAGCTTTTTTCCTTCCAGGAAAACTAATTCACATACACTGAGTAACTTTTACTCCAATACTACTTTCTGGGAGTAAGTCGGAGAACTGCCTTATGACATAAAGTGATACTTCTATCCTGGACTCCCTCCAAATAAAGGCCGAGATCTGTCTTATGCAGAATTATACTCTATGGAGTACTATTAAACAGGGTCCAGCATATCTGCTCCCTTCATGTAAGCCCACAACAATCCTCCTGACAATCCATGACAGCTTCATTCATATAGAGTTCCTTACAGCAAATCAGAACCTAGCCCTATATATTGTAAGATAAAAATTTAATAACAAAGGCTCTCTCCCAATGTTCCATTCAAAGCATTTCAAGATAGTGAAATGCCAGCCAAAGAGGCTTTCCTGCCTGTCTACTTTCTGCATCTTTGTGGAGCACATGCTTTACACTGTGGAGCATAACAAAAACTTAATGGTGCATGATAAAGAGTTATGATCTGCATCCCTATTATTGAATCCTCCTTTTTTGATTCTCAATAGGAAAGTCATGAGTTATGGTGATCAAGCAACAGTTCAAACAAAAAGACTAAAAATAATTTGAAACATTATCAAATTACAAAGTATTGCTTCTCATAAACAAGGATGCACATAAAATTCAAACCACTATAAATTCAGAATTATGAAAAGCTATTTAAAGGCATGGAAATTTTAACTTCAAACCCTTACAAAGTGTAGACTGTGTAGCCTTCTAAAAATATGCCTTGTTAAATGTTATCATGTTTGGTACACACATTAATAGGTGTATCTCCATTGATCTTTCAGATGTTGAACATCATTTATGAAAATTCCTTTGGAGATGAGAACTGTTAAAATTTTTAAGTATATTTCCATCTGATTATAATTCCTGACCTATTGCTACCATGATAAACTTCTTTTTCAGAATATAGTACTATTTCTGTAAGCTGATACGGAAGAAACTCTGTTTTTTAGCAGATGTCCTTCCTTTCAGTACACTGAAAGATGGATCTCAAAGCAGTCCCAAAACAGCTCACAGTAGATCTGTCAGCCCAGTGTTCTTCCAACTCATAGCAACTCCCAGTTTAACTGGCCACTACAAGTATATATATATATATATATATGGATGGGGGAAGGGAAGGTGCATAAAAAAAAACAGCCATCTCCAGGAGGCCTTTCTTCATCACAGATAGGAACATTGCACATTTAAAAATCATCTTAACCATTATCTATTGGAATGACTGTAAAAGTAATAATTTGCCAATTGTGCTTCCTTTTTTTTTCCCCCATACAACTGAGTCAATATACTTTGGGTCTAATGGAATCCAACTGTGGAACCAAGAGCTTCAACTTTTGTTTTCCAAAAGAATCAGAACCAATCTTCATCTGTATGTATTTTTCTTCTTTAAGTTACCTGTTGGCAAACAAAATACAGTGAATTAAAAAAAAAAAAGATATTCTCTCCTCCCTCTCAATAAACATATATACACGCATACACACAAACCTTTTAAAAGCATATAATAAAGCAAGGCTCAGTGCTGCACACCATTTACACTTACACTATCTGGGATGAAGAGACAGGTAAAAGATGGTGAATTCAAAAAAAGAAGCATATAACAAAAGAAAAGGATTGGGGATGTAGCTCAATGTAGAATGCCTCTGGGTTCAATCCCTAATACTGACGCATAGACACACACATCTAAAAGTGACTTCACATGTATCTGAGCTCATACGTTATCTGAGAGTGTTTCTTTTAACATTGTACAACATACAGAAATCTCCACCTCCCAAAAAAGACAATGAAAAACCCAGCCTCCAACCACTCCAGTGAAGTTTTAAGCAGGATTTTTTGTTTGTTTGTTTTGTTTTCTTTGAAGTGGCACATGTTCTTCAGCCTAAATGAATAGCCAGAAACTATAAATAACACCTCAGCCAGTTGCTATACATAATGCTCTTACAATGTCTATATATCAGAGAGGATTCTGGTGGGGTGGGAGAAGACAAATGAGTATGCCAGCCTGAGCCACTGTACCAGCTCTGCCTACTGTAGTCAGTTGTAAGAAATAAAAACCAAAATATACACATCTGTGAAAGCCATGTTGTGGCATTAACCAATAATGCATCCAGGTGGTAGTTTGAGTGCAGGTTTAAGCAGCAAACTGAGAAGCTACAAGCAGGAGACAATTTAATAAAGTAGCAAGAACTGTGAAGTGGGGGATAATCTGCAAATAACTAAAAAAGATTCCAGATGCACCTGAGTTGCTGGACATTAACATAATGAGCAAGATGTCTAGATTTCTAGATATCTGCATTCATATACAAGACATAATGTACACATGCACAAGCAAAAATGGTTTCAAATTATCTTGGAATCCAAAAGTGATATGTAATACAGTTCTACAAAGTGATCATAATTAGGGTTTCTATACACACACACACACAACCTGCAAATTAGTCTAGACAATCCAGTAAATGCGATAAGCCTGAGTAGTTTTAAAGGTTTAGAAATCTAATCAGACAATGCAATGATTTTTTTTTTCTAGATTGATACTAGAAAACTTTACAGGCCGCAAGAAGACATCAAAACTCAGAATACATAATGGAAGTACTTCAGTTGAAAAAGTCCTCCTTTTTTTAAGGCAGAAGTAATACTGTCCCTTTACTTGGGATATAGCTGTTCTACAGAAAATTTTAGTGAGCAAGATATAAAAAACATAGCATATACATAGCAATAATCCTTAAAAAGTGCTTTTTGTTACTTTGGTTTCTAGAAATTTACAAACTTATGATCCATACTATAAGCTTAAGACTCAATAAGGAATACCAGACCCCATTCTGTAATACTGAATGCTATTAAAGACAATAGGCCATTTACTTGTCAGTTCTCCCAGTCTGTGCAAGGCAAAACCTCCTCTTCATCCTCTGACTCAGGGGATGCCTCTTTAATTCTTCGTAGAGCTTCATGGATGCTCCGTGTTAGAGGGTCTGTATCAGGCAGAAGTGTGAAGGATTCTCTCAAAACTTCCTTCTGTACCTTCTTCAATTTTACCCCTTTCCTTATTTGTGCCAAGATATTATTACTATCATCTTCATCAGGAAAAGGAGGCAGAGTTCGCTGTTCAACCTTTTTCAGATGAAAACTACCACGCTTCAAGGATGCTAGCACTTCATCCATAGGTGAGCTCACTTCGGAAAATGAAACAGAACAATTACATTAATAAATATTTCACAGAAAGGCTCCAGAGTAAAATGTAATATGCAAATGGCTTTACATAATGTTTAAAGGAAAGTTCCTTGTTATTTTTTAGAAGTAATTTTATTAAGACATATTGGACATGCAATAAATTGTACATACCTTTCTCTACTTCTTAGCTTTCTTAAACAAAGAATATACCTCAATACCAAAATGTGAGAAAATGTTACAAGATTTTGCCAATGTCTCCCAGCCCTTTCTTATGTGAGTACTGTTTTGTACTGTTTGTTTTTGTGGTGCTGGGGACCGAACACAGGGCCTTGTACATGCTAGGTAAATGCTCTATCACTGAGCTATATATCCCTAGACCATGAGTACTTTATCTCATCTCCCAGGTTTAAAATCAGATTTTTCTCTAGCATAGAAAGAGCCACCAACCAAACAGGTCAAGTCACTTCAGAAGGCATACTTTTAAAACATACCCAATAAATAGCCTAAGAAGGTACACGTTTATGTGTATCAGTACATATCTGTTGCTGTGGGTGAGAATTCTCCTCTACTGTGACCTTGAAGACCTGTTTACTATGAAATAATGTTGTTCAAAGATAAATATTTTAAGGCTGGGGCTGTAGTTCAGTGGCAGAGCACTTGCCTAGCATGTGTGAGGCACTAGGTTGGATCCTCAGCACCGCATACAAATAAAATAAAACCATACACAACTACAAAAAAAAATTTTTTAAAGAAATGTTTTAAATTGTTTAAAGTAGAATAAAATATAAAGTTCTGTCATTATTCCTCACTTTATGCAACAGTTGATCATGAAAATGTCTTTCAAGTTACCTCTCCTCCTCTGCAAACCTTCAGCAGTCTTCCTGAGCTTCTTTCGGGCACTAACCAGCTGGCTGCTATCGAAAAGGTGTGCTGAGGGGGCGCTGGCAGACTTCGGGATCCTCTTCTCATTCCCCTCCTTTCTAGGCAGATCTTTCTCCAGTGTCTCTGGGTTGGCAGTGTTGTCCTTTGCAACAGGCAGAGGGGGAGGAGGGGGAGGGGGTGGTGGGGGTGGTGGGGGCGGAGGGGGTGTAGGAGGGAGAGGTGGTGGGAGTGGATCTGTGCTAACAGAACATGGTTCGAGGTCACTGCTATTCAAAAGTGGAAGAGATGCAGTGGGAGGCAGTTCGGAGGTAACACCACTGAGAGGTAATGAAGTGGCTTCAAGTTGTGCTAATGAATTATCTTCAAGTTGTGCAAGGCGCTGGGATTCTGTTGTCTGTGATGACCCAAGCTGGCCTCTTCCTTCTCCCACCTCTTCAGTTTTTCCCTCTACCTGCAACACCCCTGGTAGAGAGTCACATGGATCCTCATGGGGCACAGGACTTGCTGCACTTTTTCTTCTCGCATGAGCCAGTCGTAATCTGGTTGATTTAAGTATGACTTGCCCAGGGTACCTCTAAAATAACAAAATTATTATAACTGGTTGTATTACATTAAAACAATTTATGTATGTCCTTATACTGAAGATATTTTTGGCTCTTTTGTGACTTTTCAGGAAAAAAAAAAATCCAGAATACTAGAATGACAATGCCTAATACCTCCTCAAACTATTATCATCAGCTTGTCTTACCTATTTAAGAAGCCAACTGTTCAAAATTATTGCATTTTAAAAAAATATTTAATGAATTATTTAATGGATAAGCTGAATATTTAAAACACAAAACATAAATAATGTCAAACATATGCTACTGTTATGCAGAAAGCTAAAAAACTATTAGTTTCCTGTATGTTTTTCAATGCTTGTGGATTAGAAAATTTGAAACTTCTTTTACTGATTGTTTATGTAACGTAATAAAACCTCTGAGAATAATATATTCATTTTGACCTGTGAAGGAGAGGAATAAAATCTTTTGCATTATTGATTAATACAGAGAAGTCTCATTATAAATCATTTATTGCATGAAAACCTAGTATTAATAACACTTGTTAAGAAAATATTTACTTAATGTAAGTTTTATCCTCTTATAAAGGATGCCCTCACAGCACCCCATTTTTTTCACTGTACAACTAAGAGTTCACTTCACCTATAAGGTAGTTCCTTCAGTAGAGAGGAATTGAAGTAAGGCTTCAGAGCACTTCAAGGTTTAGACACTCTTTATATCTGTTCAGAGTCATGGCTTAGCCTGGCAAGGAACCTGCTCAAGAAATTCTCCTATATATAGGTCCACTCTTCCATTCTCCAATGGTCATCGCCATACATTACTTCATAGGTTGATATATGTGGAATTAGTAACAAGTTGATATTTGAACTGGTTAGTCAGTTGTAAATTGGCTATTTTTATAAAATGCAAAGGGAATCCAGGTTTCCCAGACACCCCGATCTTATACCACTCTTTGTGTACCAAAGATCACAAGAATATTTACTTTGGAAACAACCAGAAGAAAGGGGGCCATGATATCAAAAAAGTTGGTGGGAAGGGGTGGGGGAAGAAAACTGCCATAGTTATATTTTAAAGAGATATGCTCTGTTTGAAAAACAATGAAAAACAATAAATGGGCTATACTTTCCATTACCTGTTTAAATGTTCGAAGTCTATCCAGCGTTCTCTGTCTCTCCTGACTAACCCAGGCACTTTTTCTTTCCTCTTCATCATGTACTTTTTCTCTCTTCTGGTAAAAAAATAATTCCATAAGTCCATTATGTTGTGTCCCATTCATTTTTGCCATTAATAGAGAAAACACACATGCACACAATGTTCTCCCAATATGTAAAATACATGACTTAAGAGAATCAAATGTTCTATGATGTGCAGCCCTGTTTTTAAATAAAAGTCACTGTTTCAAAATTCATACTGATGATAAAGTAAAATTAAATCCCTATTTTTATCTTGTGAGTTTTGGACTTAAATAATTATTTCCACTATATTCTGTTAATTCAAATATAACTGACTTATTTTTAGAGACAAAGATTTACTTAGGAAAGCAGATATGTATATATTCAAGGGAGAATGCAGGCTATCTCCAGAGTGGACACCTCTGGGGCATTACAGCAATGGATACAAATTCAAGGGAAGCAACAGCCTATTACAGCCTATTTTTACCTCCTGCATTCTCAGATAGGCAGTTAATACTGTCAAATGGTTATCCTGCCAAAAGCACTATACAGATGGAATGCAATTCCCACAAAATTCCAATGTAGTTCTTTATAGAAATAGAAAAAGCAGTCATGAAATTTATCTGGAAAAATAAGAGGCCCAGAATAGCCAAAGAGCAATCCTCACAGCGAGAAAAACTAAGCAAAAGGCATCACAATCCCAGATCTTAAATTATTAAAGAGCTATATGAACAAAAATATCTTTGTTGTGGTGCATGGTATTAGGACCATAACAGACAAGAAGACCGATGGAACAAAATAGAAGACACAGAGAAAAACCGACAAAAATAGTTACTTCATACTAGACAAAGGTACCAAAGCCTATCACTTTAGAGATAAACCCAGCAACAAGTTAGTTGGCCATTTAGATATTATATGGTATTTTGATGAATATAACCAGCAGTTATAAAAAATGCTTCCTGTTATGCAATTACTTGCCTTAATATCATACCTTATAGATGGCACTTACCTACATAGAAATTTTAAATTTTTCTCATATTGTTCAATCATATAAAACCTGTACAATAAAATCTCATTTGCTAGAATATATTTTAGTCAAGCAAATGATAGGTTATGACTTTGTTTTCCTGTTCAGATAATCAATTTCACATAGAAAAATCAACTTTTCATTCTTCTAAAAATGTTCTTTTCGAATACAAACCTTCACTATGCTTTTTATTTTGTCACCTCACTCCTTTATTCCCACCAGTTAATAATATTTTATTATCTTCCCCCAAACAGAGTTGGGGATGTAGGTCAGTGGCACAGCACCCAGGAATTCAATCACCAGTACCGGGGGTGGGGGTGGGGGTGGAGGTGACACCAAGAATAAAATAAAGACATCTCCTACTTCCTTTTAATTCCTTAAATGTGAGAGGGAAGAATAAATGTAACTCTGAAAGAAGGAAACTAAAAGAGATGTGATAGGCTAATTATTTTGAATAAAATGTTATAAAAACATGATTCTTACATAACTAAATAAAATTTGATATTATTTAAATATAAGAATACAATAAAACCTAAAATAAAATCTGAAATAAATTAGCATGTACCCAAATTAAGAGGTGTAAGACAAACAAACAACAAAAAAAATCAAAACACAACAAAAACCCACATCAATAAAAATGGAAAATGTTTTCAGGGCAATGACTATTATTCTTGAGGCCATTTCGGTGACTACTATTAGTATAATTATAAATTGAATGCCCATAAAGTATGGGCCGAGAACCTTCTAGTTAAGGGATAGTAAAGGCAGTCTCAGGGATCTTTCTTACTTCCTTGAAACCTAAGGGTGGGGGGTAATTTCAGACGAAAATGCTAGCTAGCTTCAAATAAAAAAGGTGATATTTTATTAACCACAAGCTACATATTATGATATATACCTGCTACATAAAAAAATTATAACAATAAGGATCAATATTTTTTAAATTGTATTACTTTTCTTTTAGTTGTTAATGAGTTTTTATTTATTTATTCATTTATATGTGGTTCTCAAACATGCTAGGCAAGCAAGCACTCTAACACTGAGCTACAACCCCAGCTCAAATATCAATATTGACAGTCATCTTCAGACCTCTGATTTAAGACAGAATTCTCTAAAAAATAAATCAGTACAGAAAAGCCATCAACTTTCATCAATGATAAAACTGGGAGGAATATAGACGAGTCATAAGATGAAGATGTTCCTCCGAATATCTGAATCCTTATCACAGAATAAATACAATCATCGATGTAACTGGAGGATAAAAAAAAAAGATAGAATATTATCTTCATGTTCAATAAGCCCTCTCTGCTGAAGGGAAACAGCAGGTTATGAGATAGGGCAAAGGAAGAAACAATTCCAAATATCAACTGAGATACCCTGTGATGTAAGGGCTTTCCATAAGTCCCACAGGAGAACCTCAAGGGCCTCACAGAAAACCTGATGCACAATCATCATCTAGTAAAGTACTAGACTTCAGAATAAAGAAAAATTCCTATGGGTATCAGAAAAATCACATTCCTATGAGGTGGAGAGGGCCTCAGACCTCTTCATTACAACATTCAATGCTACAATATAGTGTGGCAGTATTTCCAAAATTTGTTGGAGGAGGAAATGCCCACATGATCCACCAAGAGTGTCCTTTATATATAAAGGATATAAACAGGCATTCCCAATACATGCAAGAACTCAGAAGGTAAAACTTTCCCAAAATAGCACCTTAAATGGAATCTAACCAACTCCAAGGTGAACAAAAATAAACTCAGAAACAAAAAGCTGATAAGAACCCAATAAGCACTAAACTTAGACATAAAATTGAATTTAAAACAACTGAGAATCATGAGTAAATAACAAAGAATTTAAAAGTTATCTAATATTTTTACATTGAGAAGGGCATATTGGATGGTGGAAGAAAGGAGTTGGGAGAAAGTATGAGTCAAATGATTTCTTTATCTTTCACAGCATGAGTCTGATGCTGAAAAAACAATTTTTAAAACTTTTAAGTTTTTTTAGCATCAGGCTCATGCTGTGAAAGATAAAGAATATCCTAACAATCTTTCTCTGAATGTTTTCAAGAAATCTGTGTAAATCCTAATAATTTGTTCAAAAGTTCTCTTGTTAAAAGAAGTATCAATTCTGAACTTGATTTTTTTCTTTATAATTGAAAACTTATAATGATCGTAGTATCTCTTCTATATACAATGAGAGTTTTTAAAGTACAGGAATGATTGAGAAACTGCTTTGCAAGCTACTAATTATAACTGCTTATAATTAAAGGATTTCATATCAATGTATTGTTTTTAGGAAACTGAGAACAATGATTGGTCATGGCACCTATTGGAGCAGAGAAAGCTGACAAAGGCGACACAAAAAGAAGCCACATGAGCAAAAATCAAGCTATCAGTTTCCATGACCTACAGCTTAAAAGTATTTCATTTGTGCTTTCAATAAGTAGCCACAAGTTATGTAAAACAAGAATGTAATTTTTTTTAAAAGGAGAAAATTGACTGTTTCTTGACCACAATTTTTTTCTTGCACCTAATTTGAGTTAACAGTAACGGCAACAACAACAGAATGTAGGTCAGTGGTAGAGTACTTGTCTAGCAAGTGTGAGCCCTCTCTCTTTTTTAGAGAGTTCGCATCGAATTCATTCTCATTCTCACTCTCCTCTCTCTCCTCTCTCTCTCTCTCTCATCTTGAAGCCCAAGAATGGTGGCATACACCTGTAGTCCTAGAATTTGAGAGGCTGAGACAGCGGGATCTTCAGTTTGAGGCAACCTGGGAAACTTAGTGAGACCCTGTCTCACAATAAAAAGCTTTGTAAAATGATCAGCTTCAGAACTATAGTACTTGAGATTTATAAAGAGCCCTGCCTTACTTGAGATAAGGCTCTGTCCCATCTCACTACATGTGAAAGTGGCTATGAAAGAAGTAAGCCAGATTTCAGTACAGTTAAAGTTGTGTCCAAAAGTAGGTTTTTGCCAAGATTACTAGGATCTCAAATAGGGAATTATGATGTATAACCCTGCCAGAATTCAAGGTAGCTATTATATAAGCTAAATATGTTTTTACCCTAGTTAGTTTTGTTTTGTAGTTTGCTTATAGATGGTTTAAGGATTGGCTGTTAATGTTTTAAAGAGGTATTGCTTTAAGAACACAACCTGGGTCAACATAAGATAAGGAGTTATCACCTACAGGATAGACAGATAGACATTAAAGCCCAGTGCTCTTAATATAAGGCTGTTAACTTATTTGCTGGATGTTTAAGATCAAGTTTTTAAAATTAGTTAAATTAAAAGGGCCAAGAAAACCAATATTCGGCTCTTGCCCTCTAAGTCAGTCTGAATCAGGGAATAGGGGACTTCTCCAAAGGGCTCTGCAACTCTAGGCCACATAACCTCCTGAGCAGGGAGATTAATGAGACCAGTGGAGGACAGAAAGCCAATTGGTGCATTTGCTGTAAAGAAGAGGGTCATTAGAAAGGGGAGACATCCCTGACGCTTCTGAGGGAAGCCACATGGTCAAGCAAGGCCTGGACCCATCCTAAGGTAAATGGCACTAGCAGAACTGAGAAGCTGCTATGAAGTTCCCCGAGGACTCCCAGGGAAACTCAGCTGACTGTTGACAATAGATAAGAACAAAAGTCAGTTTGACTTGCTTCATCTTAAATACTTAGCAAAGACAGTTAAAGCCAAAGCACAGTTGTTCCTGGACATTTTAAATGATAATAATAATTAAATGTAACTTCCAAAAATAAGTAAACTGGAGGCTACAAAAGAGATTCTCAGACAGGAATGTCTGATAACTATTAAAAGGAACTGCCAGAGTAGTTTTTAGTTTAAGGCCCACAGATATTCCTAACCTACACAAGTAGGCTTGGTGCTTGCTAGTATGGTTATCCAGCCCTAAGTAGCAAAACTAAAGGTTTCCCTATTAGACATAGGTCATACTAGTAAAAAGGACATCTGTAAACCTAAACGTTAGTTTTTGTGTTTACATCCCTGACATTTCTGGCAAGGTGACAAATATCCTTAAAGATTTACATGCTTAGATAGAACCCATGTCCTCAGCAACTTTGTCATGGAAACAATATCTTAGCTCCTAGTTCTTGGTACTTCCTGATGGAAAACATTGTTAGTCTTTGTCTTTGCCATCATACTCATTGGCATATTCCTGTGCTATGGCATTTATTGCTGCATCAATATGGTTCCAGTACTAATGAATTCTTTTTTCTCTTATAGACCATCCATCACTCAAATGGCCCTCCAGACTATTACTTCTCAATCAGACTTCTACCATGGACCACTCGATAGACCCAATTTTTAAAGGGGGACTCCAAACTGCTTGCCCCACATCGTCCCTTTTCAGCCTGAAGAAGCCAGAAAGATCTTCTTCGCCCCCTTTCCTTACAGCAGTAAGAAGTTCCCAAATTAGAGGGGGGAATAAAGCCAGATTTTAAGTTAGGTAGTCAGTGTAGTTAGATAAATCGGGGTCTAATACCGAGTGGAATCTAAAATGGAGGCCATGCTGAAAATGATTCCAGGGAACGCAAAACAACTCATGAAATGTAAAACCCTTCAATAATCATGATGCATTACTTTTAAGATTAAAAGTAGTCAGAAAAAGAAGTGGGGAATGTAAGGGTAAAAGAAATGGAAGTTAAAGCGTAAAAGTTAAAGGGTAAAAGACCGGGTGTTGTAAAAGTTTCTAAGCTGCAAGGTCTGAGTTAGCTGTTAAGACAATGCTTAGAACGGCCCAGTAAACATTTCCCCTGATTGTCTGGTTGTTTAATTAACTGAAGGGGTCTGTGTGGTTGCACGCAGGCACTGCAGGGCCTGGACCAATCAGTTTAAATGTAACCCCCTCCTTAGGAATGACCTATCACTCCAGCCTGACCTGTTCCCGCCAATGAATGAACTAATCAGGTTTAGGAGTTGTTGTTCAATTTTCCCGCGCCTAATGATGATTTGTTCTGATGTATACTAAGCCCTCCGCCCTCCCCAAAAAGTGTACTTAAGCAGTGCTCAGCCCCTGCTCGGGGCTCTGGGCTGCTTTCCCTTCTTGAGTGGGCACGGAGCCCCAGCATGCTGGTTTAATAAACCCCCCCTTCTGCCAATTGCATGAGTGGTCACTTGGTGGTCTCTTTCTCCGACGTTTCGCGGGACCCTTACAGTTATTTTGTATCTGTCAAAAAGCTGATTCTGAACATTAAATGGAAAGACAAAAGACAGAACAGTACAGAGGGCCTAAAATAGAATCACACAGAATCATCTGATCTTTGACTAAGGGGTAAAGGCAATTCAATGAAACAAAGAAAATAATTTATTTTTTTGTGGGGCTGTAGATTGAACCCAGGGCCTTATTCAAATTAGGCAAGTGCTCTACCATTTTTTATCTCCAGTCCAAAGATAATCATTTAGTTGGGGATATAGCTCAGTTGGTAGAGTGCTTGCTTTGCATGCACAAGGCCCTGGGTTCAATCCCCAGTGCCCAGGAAAAGAAGGGGGAGAAGCCAATGAAAATCATTTAAATAAATGGTACTTGAGTAACTGGACATACACATGCAAAATAATGAATCCAGACACAACCTTATGTTGTTCACAAAAATTAACTCAAAGTGAATCACAGACCTCGAACTACAATGCAAAACCAAAAAAATGAGATTACATAAGAGAAAATGACCAAGTTTGGTGAAGACTTTTTAGATGACTTACCTGATACGAAAGACATTACTAGTAAACTGGACTCTGCTAAATTTTTGAAAAGTTTTTAATCCCTGCTCTGGGTAGGATACTGTCTAAAGAATGAGAATTCAAGCCACAAATTGGGAGAAATTATTTGTAGAAGACACATGGGATAAAGGACTGTTATCCAAACATACAAAGAACTCTTAAAACTCAACAATAAAGAAGCACAAAGCCAATTAAAAACTGAGCAAAACATTCTGATGCTAAAGAAGATATCCAGTTTGGAAAAAAAGAAAAGGGAAGATCTGCAGATGACAAATGTGCATATGAAAAGATGCTTGATATCATGTCATTAGAGAACTGTAAACTAAAACAATGATACACCAATACACACCTATTAGAATTCAAAACCCTGACAACAGAAGAAGCTTGAAAAGGAATGAAACCACCTGAGCTCTCATTTATTGACCAGGGGAATGCAAACTGCTACAATCACTTTAGAGGATGGTTTGGTAGTTTCTTACATGACTATATATACTCTTACCATACTATCCAGAAATCAAACTCCTTGTTATTTACTCAAAGAAGCTGAATCTATGTGCACCAAAAGCCCTATATGGCCAGGTATAGTAGTCCCTGCTTGTAATCCCAGTGATTTATTTGGGAGGCTAAGGCAGGAGGATTGAAAGTTGAAGCCAGCCTTAGGAATTTACCAAGAGCCTCAGCAACTCAGTGAGACTGTATTTCTCAAAATACCACGCAGCCTCTGGGTTCAATCCCCAGTACTCCCTGTCCAACAAACAAATAATAAAATCAAATTAAAACCCCTGCATGGACTTTTAAATAGCTTTATTCATAACTTCCAATGCTTGGAAACAACCAAGATAGGTCTCAGTAAATGAATGGATGAATACACTACAGTATATATTCATAAAATGGAGTAGTATCCAACACTAAAAATAAATGAGCCGTCAAGCCACAAAGACACAGAAAAACCTAAAATCCATATTACTAAGAAGTCAATCTGAATAGGCTCCATGTATGATTCTAACTGTATACACAAGATGTGTAAAGAAAAAAAAACTATGGCAGCAGTAAAATATCAGTGATTATAAGGGTCTGGGGGCAGAGAGGGAAAGAACAGGTAGAACAAAGGGATTTTCAGGATAGTGAAGAATCAACAATAAAAAAGCAGAAACCAAATTAAAAACTATTCTGTATGATACTATAAGAACAGATTCATGTCGATAGCAATTTATAGTACGTAAACCACACAACACCAGGAAAAAACCATAAGGTAAACAATGGTCTGGGCAATAATGATGTGTCAATGTTGATGTTGTTTTTGAGAATTTTTGACAAATGTACCACTGTGGTAGCAACAGAAGTTATGTGTTAGAGGTGTGGGGAGAAGGCACAGGTGGGAAGTGGAGCAGAGAGCAACCCCCCACACACCATACACAACTGCTAATTTAGCAAAGCATGTTTATTAACCCAGCTACTCTGGAGGCTTGAGGACCACAAGTTCCAGGCCAACCAAGGCAACTTATCAAGACCCTGTCTCCAAATAAATTAGAAAGGGTTATCTATGTAACTCAGTGGCCGAAAGCTTACCCAGACATGTGTGAAGGCCTAGGTTCAATGCCCAGTATAGCAAAAACAGAAAAAAAAAAAAAAAACCCACTCTCAATTTGCATGCATATTTATATTCATAAATATATGAACTAATGCTAATGTCTAGTTATGAGATTATCTATAGCCTTTATCCACCTTGAGACACATAAAAATAAACCTTTGTTCCAAGTCTCCAAGATCCAAACTTACTAGTTGTACCATGTGATGGGTTCTATATTCCTCTTCACTTTGAATGCGCTGTTGGAATTTTTCATTGTGTTTTGCAATACAAATTTCCTATAAATACATAAAATGTCTTTTAGTAATTTAGAAAAGCCACACCAAGGTTTATTTGATAAATTTTAATTTCAATACATACCTACATAGCAAAGTACCAACTAAACCACCCATTATTTCTCACCTGAACCGTTGAAATATGAGCCAAATAATAAGGATCTTACAAAAGACTCTTCTATTAAACTGTACAAAAGACTCTTCTATTAAACTGTTAACTTTTCTAGATACTGTGTTGTCATTTTAAGAGAAGGGATGGGGCAAGGTGGAAGAGGATGTCCTTAGATCTCAAAGGTTTCTTTCAGTTATGAAGTCTATACAGCCAGAAAATTCCTTCCAAGTCTCACTTTAAACAGGTATGGACAAAAAAGAATATACAACTGTTGGCATAAGTCTGTATTCTTGAGCTTTCTCTGATGAATTAAAGACCATGATTTTGTCCAGACTAGTTTAAACAATATCACGAGATCTGAATCTTCTAGTCATACTTGTCAAGAGTTGAAAAAGACCTTAAAAACTAGAAATGCCCTATAATCCAAATGACAACTTTTTGGCAGCATCAAGTCTAATCTTCATTAACTGTATGTCCTTAATGTAACTATCCTTAAAAGAAGTTTTCTAGGTAAAAAGGCTAACTATTGATATTAGTTTCCAGTATTCTCAAAGCTATACCAAAATGATCACTCTTTCATTTTAAAACAGTCATGAGGCACTGGGTTTGATCCTCAGCACCACATAAAAATAAATAAAATAAAGATATTCTGTCCATGTATAATTATTTTTAAAAAAGAATTTTAAAGTATTTTGCCCATCTACAACTAAAAAAGAAAGTCATAATGACTTTGAAAGTCATTAATATTTTAAAGCACATGTTTACAACACTGTAATCTTAGCCTGCTCTGGTTCACTCTACTAACAAAAATCTGTTCAGTGCAGTTGAGAAAATAAAGGTAGCATTATATAATCTCATTACAGAATGATATAGTGACTCAGACTTTGAAGTTACACAAACATAGGACAAAATCGTACACCTCTGTCCCATTCTAGCTGCTTATCCTTCTGTGATTTATTTAATAATTACTAGAACTTTCACACCCTTGATTATTATACAAGGATATAAGTTTACAATCCCTTATTCAGAACTGAAGTCAGATGTGTTCTGAGATTCACATTTCTTTTTCATATTTTAGAAGGTTGTTACTTCACACATCATCCAATAACTTGGGCAAGATCTGAGGGAATATCCTGTAATAAGTTATATTAATATTTTTGCAGTGACATATATGAATAGTCAAAGTGGTAAAATTACGACAATAAAATAACTTCATGTCAGTTCAGGTGTGGTTCTGCCACCAAATGAAGTATTAAAATACGCCCGATTTTCTAGGCTTTCTAGAATTCAGACAAGGGATTACCTCATCTGGCTCGTTTGGGTGAATTAAAGACGAAATACACAGAGAATAGTATTACTTCTATTACCTGAAATATTTAAACATAAAACATCTTGAAGACTTCAGGGAACAGGACAGGATTTGCTTAGAAGCACAACTACCGTCAGTATGTAATCCTATTATGAGTGTCAGGTACACTAAGTAGTGTAGCCAGGAGCCAATGCTTCTCACCACATGATATTGTTAAGAGAATAATGGATGGTGTTCCACAGGGAGACATCTATTTTTAAAATCTTTTTTTTTTTTGTCATATATTTGATACAATGGTTTTCTTCTTAGGATTTAATATTTCCAGTTTCCTTTCTTTTTAGCATTCTTGTCACTCCTCCCTCCCGCTGCAGACCTGGCAACCGCAGTTGGTGGAATTGGGGGGCAGGGTGCAAATGTAAAAGGAAAGTTTCTCCAATAGTGGATTCCCCTATCTTAAATTTAGATTAACATAAGAACAGAGTGAAGAATATTGATTGACATGAATTAATAGGCTTCAATAAGGAAATAGCTGAAGGGAAAGTTCAGTCTGATTCAGATTCTGATTTACTTTTCGCATGTGATGCAACTCTCCCCCAAAACACTAAACATAGGACCCCAACAGCCTCAAATACTAAATATCACAGAGCTCCCCCAATTCTTATTCCCTTTGGCCTTTGTAGGGCACCTGATACTGCTGACCACCCTGCTTTGAGGAATCGTTTTCTCTTTTGCAGCCTCACCATCTCCTGCTTCTTCTCCCTCAGACTTCTCTTTCTCTTTGACCCTTTCTTGTGTACAAAGTCTCAAACTTTCTGCAGGACTCTTTCCAAAGAGCCTCTCTTCTCACAATACACCGGGCCTTCTTTGTTCAATTTTCATAACCTATGCCCTTTACAATGTCTTCTCACCCCTAGGCAAAAATGTTTTGCTGACTTTTGCTTTTGGAATTATAAAAATACTAAGTACATGCAAGATTTTTTTTTTTAACTACCAATCTGTTCTATCACCTTCCCTTTGCACCTCCCCAACAGCTCTCCATCTCAATCACTGATAAAATCACCTACTCAATACATCCTTATGGAACCCAGAGGCCCAATAGTTTCATGGCCATCTCCACCTGAAACTTGGGTCATGACCTGTAAGGCATTTGTGTTTTTCCCTTGGCAGTCCATTGTGATAGATGGAACCTCTATCCACCCAAATGCCCAATTTAGAAGCCTGAGAGATAATAGAAAATAGCTCCTCTATTCTTCATTATAAACCATTAAATCTTATTGACTTTCTACTTCTGGAAAGGGTCAGAATTGGACACTTCTCAGATTTTCTATTCCTTACTATCTGTACTACCACAACTACCTCAGCTCATACTCTTAACATTCCAACCCCACAAAGTTGAGGATAATGATAATCTCCAACCAGAACCTTTTAGTGCTCACTGTAACTTATTTTAATTTTGCCTTATCTTTATGAAACATAAATCTGTATATATTATCCTTTACTTAAAACTTTGCAATCATTTGCATTACCTTCAGAATCTGCTCAGGCCTATTAATGTGGTTCAGAAAACTTCCCATAATCTGGTCTCTGTAGCACACTTACCACATATAGTCCCCTGACTAGCCATGCTCTTATGCTTCAGTGTCATTTTGTTGGGCTTGGAATTATACCCCCACACCAACCATTTGGCAAATTTCTATTCAGATGTTAAAACCTAATGCAAAGGGCTGGGGATATAGCTCAGCTGGTAGAGTGCTTGCCTCGCACACACAACCCTGGGTTCAATCCCCAACACCACAAAACAAAAACCTAATGCAAGTACCACTTCTTACAAGAAGCCTTTCTTTGCTGCCTTTATTTGCTCTCTTGTTATCTGGCATGTTTATCTGGTCATCTGGTTGGCCTTCTCTATAAGACTAGGAAGAGCAGAGACTATGCCTTGCTCATCATTGTGCATAGCACAATGCTGAATTAAAATGAACCAGACTATTAACTAAGTCTGAATTGTACAACATTTAAAAAAATGCTTTCAAAAAATGTTCAAGTTCATAAAATTCCACCAAGTCTTTAAGTTACTTTACCAGACAGCTGAAACTAATATTATAAAACAGTGTTTGTGATATTCATAAAAAGGTTTTCTTCTACATCCTATTTACATTTCATTCTCCAAAGACATTGATAGAATGTGCTAGTATCACTGCAATGTTGACCTAACTGGCATGGAATAGAACTTAAAGCCTATAACCATCAGGCTCACGGCTGAGACAATAGTGGGTTTCAATGACCACTATTGTCATGGAAAAAGAAAAATGCACAGATTTCTGTCAGTTAGGAGAAAACCGTAGCCCTGAGTGTTGAGGTAACTGTTCTGAGAGTAGACAAAATGATAGAAGGTTGCTGACATACTGTGGAAAGATGTATGCCTGGGTTTCTTTAATGTATACAAGCCATCTGTTACAAAAAGCAGAAGTCTTTGCATATCTGTGAAATGAGGAAGTGGAAGCTCTGAAATCTGGTTAAGAGCAGAAGGTAGACTCTCAAAGAACATGCCATTCTTTTGCCTGTGTATCTGAGCTCAAAGCAGTCAGTGCCACAGGGTTATCACACTGGTCCAGGCCTTAAAACTTGTTCCAGATTCAAAACCCACATTCAGTGCCTAGAAACCACCCTATGATAGTAACCTCTGGACTAGAAAGCAAAACATTTTCGAAGTCATAAAAAGAAAATACATTTTCACAAATGGAATTACTTCAAATATCAAGAATGATCAAAGATTTTGAAATGTAATTCAAGTTAAAAATAATAACAATCTAAAAATTTCTTTAAACTGAAGTCAGAATCAGGACTTGTAGTCCATTACCAGCCACCTTAAATAAGAGGAGCTAGGAACTACACTACATAGGACCCTGGAGCACACCACTTAGCATAGTTACCTCCAGCAGGTGAAGAGTCATCATCATTGGCTGTTTGGACATATTTTAAGAGGGTAATTTTCAGAGAAATGTGCCTAAAATAATGAACTGAGTTATGAGAAGAGATAATGCTTAGCTTTTAAATACAAAAAAAAATAGTGGTAAATCATGTTAGAATTACGAGATATGAATCAAGGACTAAGTAATGAATAAAAAAGCAAGATTTCAATACCTTTTTATTTCTGAGGTAGGCTTTCTTGGCTGAGACACGTCCCCGTCTTGCTTCCAGCTGGCGTGCTTTCTGCTGTAGTTTCTGCAGCTCTTCCCTCTGTGCGTGCACAGAGGCTGCCATTTCTTCTTTCTCTAGCATGGCCTCCATGCTTTCATAAGTGTCATAGTAAACTACTTCATCTCTCTTTTCTGTGACAGAACAACAACAAGGGGTCACAGTAAAGCACATGGGTCATGAGGCCTGACAGAACAGAATTTGGTGCCACCTACTAGCTCTGTGACTTCAAAGCTAATACTTCTTGTGTTTCTCTGTAAAACGGTGATTAAATGGAAATGCACCTCATAGAATGAATGTATGCAAAATGTGCAGTGTCTGGCACACAATGAGTGCTCCATAAATCTACACTTCCCTCCCAGCTCAACTCCTGCAAAACTGTGAATTTTTGAAAATACAGGTTTTGACTGAAGTATCCCTTACAAAAATCAGTATTTCACAAAGATAACCAAAGCCAACATAGAGTTGCACTGTTCAGTCTACCAAACAACTTGTTTGACTTCAGAGACTCCTTTAAAACATTTCTTTTATACCTGGATGTTTTAAAAAGTCTTAGCAAAGAAACATAGCTGGCATCCACACACATTTTCTTCACATATTGAGTCTTCTGTGGACTTACTGTGTGTGCATCATACCTGATATAAGTCTTTTGATACTTTCCAGTTGTGCTGTCAACAATAACTCTTCACACTTTAAGATTTCAAACTGTACTTCATACAACTGAAGCTGAAGATCATAATAATCAGCTTCTAACTGATCCAATCGAGCTATGGCTTCTGTACCACCCTGCAAACTTTGCATCTGTAATGAAAACACTTTAGTTAGAGGAAACAATAAAACAAATAAAGGCATAACTAGAAATCAGTACTAATAGGATAAATTCACAACACATTCACTCTAAGAAAGAAACTTATATGTAAGAAATTCAGAGTTTTGTGAGAGGTGTGGTGTGATGTAAGCCTTTAGTCCCAGCTCCTTGGGAAGCTGAGGCAGGGGGATAGCTTGAACCAGGAGTTCTATACCAGCGTGGGCAACATAGGGAGACTCCCACCTCAAAGAGGGTAGGGGCTGTGGTGTAACTCAATGGTAGAATGTATGCCTAGCATATGTGAGGCCCTATATTTATAGCCAGTGCTATAAATGAAGGAGGGGTCCCCCTGACTGATCAATCCAGAGTTTAAAAAAATATGAATATATGAAACTACTGATAATCAAGTTACAGCATATGGTTTTAGAAGAAGGCAAACATGGTAAAAATAAGTTTTAAAGTTTCTATCACAGCTCATTACCTTATTTAGGGTGATATACTGTTTTGAAATAAATGTTAATAGTATCCCTTCTTAATCTTGAAAGTAGATGCTAATTTACGCAGTTAGCCTTTTCATATAAAATATATGAAAAAGGCTAGACCATGCGTAGATATTTACAACAGAGTGGTAAAAGTTGACTGATCCACGTATCTGGGACTTTGCTTTGTCCCATGGTCACAGCCTGGCTTCTGAGACCTATAGGCTGGAGAGTAAAGTGAGAGCACATGAGTGGAACAACATCAAATAACTGCTTTAGATACTTTAGATTAAAAAATTGTTATGTATGGATAATGATTGGTATTGTTTTTAAGTAAATGCAGTCAGGGTCATAGATTCAACCTAAAATGGGATTCAGAAATTTCTGAGCATGGCTCATGGTGGATATTCTTACATGAGGTTTGTTTGTTTGGCTGGTTTTTTGGCCCAAGAGAGGGGAATTTTTTATGTATTTATTTATTTTTTTAAAATCAGGCACCGGAAGGAAACCACTAAGGGGAACACATTCTTCAGATACTGGTTCCTGACCCTATTAGCTCCACAAATTCCTATTTGGCTATATGAAGAAGGCAGTTACAAGACAAAGCTGAAAAGGATGGCTTTTTAGGAGTCTGTGAGATATAAAATATACCACATTTCTGATTGTCAGACAGTAAGCATTTTTTCAAGAACATTTCTTTTAGAACCAGAGCAACAAGCTTTGGCAGCTTAAGGTTCATTCTTAGAAGTCCCAAGAGGCCTCTGGTATAGGCATCAATATGCCCTGGAGGTTTTGGCAGCATTGGTAAAGAGGCCCTGGTTTCAAATGACAGGGAATAACTACCAAAAGCAGAGTGAGAAGAATAGAAAGCAATATTAGAGAAATGTCTACAAATTTGCGTGAGGTATCACCTGGAGCCCCAGAATACCAGGGAAATACCTCTATCACAGCATAAGCTAGCAAGGACAGTGAAGTTTGTTGCTGATAAATGATCTCTTCTGTCTGGAAAAGTTGTTACAAACATGTTAGCACATAATGAGAGTATGTTGAAGATTCCAGCTTTTGTTTTACATTGTAGATATCCACACAGACACACCCAATGACTAGACTTTTTTTTGGAGGGGGTGGGTATTAAGTATTAAACTCAGTGTTGCTCTACCAATGAGCTTCAGCATCCCAACCTTAAAAAAATTTTTTTTTTAATTTTTTTTTTTTTCCGGAGGACAGGGTCTCGCTAAGTTGCCCAGGCTGACCACAAACTTGTAATCCTCCTGCCTCAGCCTCCAAAGTCACTAGGACGATAGACATGCTCTACTATGCCTAGTTTCACAAGAATTTTTAAGTGAAAAGCAATAGTTAAGTTATGGCCTAAATGTACAGTAGTTTATATTTAAAATAATCAGTTAATTTAAATCTATTACTTAATAAATTTTATAAATACTTTAGATAACATTATCTAAACTATTAAGACAGTGAATGATCCTACTTGAATAGGAAATATTTTATAAGTGACAAAAATAAATAACAAACCCAAAGTGGTTTTAATTATAGTGGCTAGGTAAGGAATGTTGACAATATGAAACCCTGTCGTTTTTCTTCTAAATTATAAAATAGGAACCTAGGCTCAGTTTATGCCTTAAGACTCGTAGACTCACTTTAAATAACACATCCTTTCATACTATTTTGGGGCGCCTATCAGGCGTAGTAATAGATTCCTCTATTACTTCACCCCACACTCTATTAACACAGCATGCAAACAGGTAAACTACCTATGTTTTAAAATGAATTTTAGTAGATGGACCCAATACCTTTATTTTACTTGTTTTTACGTGGTGCTGAGAATTGAACGCAATGCCTCTGCGTGGTAGGCAAGTGCTCTACCACTGAGCCACAGCCCCAGCACCAAAGCTATATAAACTTAAATATACAACAGCTTCTACCAATAATAGCTGCACAAATAGGAATGATACAAATTGACAGAATTATCTCAAATTCCATATATGAGAAATCTTGGGAAAATGAAAGTGTCTGTAATTGCATTGATGTCAAACCTAATGTTACAAACTATTTTTAGGAAAACATGATCAGAATTGGTATAAAGCTAGTTAAAGTCTTTATGTATTGTATTTGATATAACTGTATACTTCATTACTGGAATAACTGTCTTAAAGTTATTTGTTCTAATATTACCTTTCCAAAAATTCTATAACATATATGGCCTCTGGAATTTCAGATAATGGTTTATGTTCCTAGAACATACAAGGTTATGTTTTGAGAACAAAGACAAAACACTGAGGACAGGGCCTAAGACATTAAAAATTTTCTACTTACATTCTTTTTGTACTTAATGCCAAAATACAATTTAGGTGGAAGAAATGTTATTTAAGTAATAAAAATTAAAATATTTAGAGTGGAACCTAAATTTGTGTGCTTCAAGTCTAAAATTTCTAGTGTGTAGATATGGAATAAATTACTGATAAATAAGAATAAACAAGTCTCCTGCCTGGGTAAGGACCTCAGTTTCCTCACCTCTGCTCAGGCTGCATCCGCCTTATCAGAACTTAATAAGGCTCATATGAAAACGCCACACCATTTTTCAATGGAATCCTTTGCCATTGAACCCTGAAGTATCTGTTATAGCAAATAACAGATACTTTTGAAGCAGGGGAATTACATCTTTCTCTTCTTTATATTTTCCTTCACAAAATATTTAGTACTATTCCAAAATTAAAGTAATATTAGCTTGTATTTATTGAGTTCTTATTCCGCGTCAGGCACTATGCTAAAGGCTTTATATACATTAACCCATGTAATCATAACAGAGAAGTATATATTTATGTACATTTAATAGAGAGGTTAAGGAATTCACTCAAAAGTTACATAAAGAGTAAGCTTGCAGAATTAGGACCTACAGAGTTGTTTTGCTCAATATGGTAGCCACTGGCCTCATGTGAGTTTGTTTAAAATTCTCCTCCTCTGTTCATAAACCTCATATCAAGAGTTCATTTTGCCATATGTGACTGAAAACTGCCCTACTGGAAGTGTAGTATAGAATATTTCCTTCATTGCAGGGCATTCTGTAGCACTGCCTAAATCTAAGCTCATGCCTATAATAAGCATTTAACATTTCACAAAATAAAATTGAAATGGGGACTATAAATTGAATTAATCATAATTTAGCTATATGCTTTTAAGAAGAAAGAGAAGATTATGAAATACAGGAGTTCGCTTCAGGATTGGTATACTATAATCCACTCCATGTGTTAATTGTTCACAGAAATGATCTCAAGGACTTGCAAAAGGAGAAGCAGTGGTTAAAAATCATCTGCCAATGAAACAAAGTACAGTGGTACATTTTTAAAGCTTTTTAACTGGAACAGTGGAATCCCTTTTCTGTTTTTCTTTATTAATCTTTTTTGTTAACCGAAATTGAGAAATCTACCAGCTAAGTGAGATAAACTGCTTTCTATGATTGTTTCCTGATAGCATCTTACTTTTAGCACCTTCTATTCCAAATTAATGAGAAATGAATACCTAATTTCAACATTAATATTCATCTTAACACCTCTAATGTATATGTTACTCCAACCATGCAATTTTATGTATTTTAATTTGGTCTGCTAGTTTAATTTAAAAAAGCATACTATATGTGATGTAACCTGGATTAATAATACAAATCTGAAAGTAAAAATGTTACACAGTTAAATTATACTATTATTTTTGAATATGAATGGAGAGGGATTATATACAGCTCAAAGACTAGAATAAAGTAGCTACAGCTAATTAAACTCAACCTACATTCTTTCAAAAGTTTGCACTCAAAAGGCACTAATATTTTCAGTATATTTGATAGGGCAAATCTGAACATCAAGATCAGTCAGGGGCTGGGATGTGGGTCAGTGGTAGATGCTTTACCAGCACACATGAGGCCTCAGATCCAATGCCTTATGTTACGCAAATGCTCTACCACTGAGCCACAACCCCAGCCCCAACATTCAAATTATTAAAGGGACAGGAGTCTATGAACTTTAAAAAAAAAAAAAAAAAGTAAGACTGTTTTAAGATTCTGAAACAAAGGGAGACACAATTGAAAGGAAGTACTTACTTTGTTTTTCAGTTCTGGGTATTGAACCCAGGGATCTGAGCATGCCAGGCAAGTGTTCTACCACTGAGATACATCCCTAACCTTTTCTAATTTGAGAAAGCCCTTATTAAATTGTCAAGACTGACCCTGAACTTGTGATTCTCTTACTTCAGCCTCTGGAGTACCTGAGGTTACAGCATTGTGCCATTGGGCCAGGATGTACTTACTCTTAACTCTATTAAAATAATTTAAAGCCAAATTGATTGTTGTTTGTCTATGCTATTTTTAATATTTCAGTATTTAGAAAATTTATGTCAGGTTCAGCATTAGACTCATAGTAAATATTCTTAAATGTAATTTATAATTTTATAGTTTCCATTTTGTCACATCAGGAAGGGTTTTTTTTGTTGTGGTTTTTAAAACAACCTAA